TTCATTTGGAAATCTGATGTGGTTTTTACTCCTTGCCTAATGAAGGTGGCAATTCCCAAAGAATGCGGCCAGCACAGGTTTCCAGGGTGGGAGCTGTTTGATGCAGCTCCTCTTGGATGAGCTGACCCATCAGAAAAAGGCTGGCCTCTGTGTGTGTGTGTGTGGTGTGTGTGTGAAAAAGAGAGAGAGAGAGAGAATGCATGTTCTTTCCCAGTTACTCCTGAGGATTCTGAAGGCCCACTGGAATTTCATGAGCACTTGCTTCAGCTTCAGCTTTTCCAGCAGAAAAGCAACAGTTACATCCGCAGATAACATGAAAATTCCTCTGGGGCTTGGAAATGAAGATTTCTACTTCTGGGGGCTCCCCTGCCAACACTCACAGCGCTTAGCCTGTCATCACAAATACTAACCGATTGTGGCTGAGGGTACGTGAACTCTCCCAGAGGTGGTCTGCCCCGCCTTGCGTCCTGATTCAGGAGAGTGGGAGGGCAGGGGTCCCTTGGCCTCTCAGAAGTTCAAGAAGCACATCGCAGGAGTGGCCATCCTAGGGTCCATTTGGGTGGTCACTTGCTCCAAATGTTTATGTTTCCCTCTGCCCAATATTTCAAGCTCACAGATTTAGAGGATAGAGTAAGTGACGTTCTTACTTATGCCACTATCTTATGCCACTAAGATGTTTTAAACATTAACATTTTGTCATTTGTTTTCTAAAGCTTGAAAGGTTGACTACTAGGGTAGTATTCAATCCTTATCCAATTCTGTTTTTAATAGAACAAAGCTAATATAGCTCAGGAGTCATTAGCATGTTATCCACAGCCAGCCTTTTTTTTTCATAAATAAGGGTTTTTTTTTTTTTCAGATTAAAAAATGTATTTGAAAGGTAGAATCATTGAGAGGGAGAGAAAAAGAGAGAACTTCCATGCACTGAATCACTCCCTAAATGGTGAAGCCAGGAGTCAAGAACTCCATCCAGGTTTCACTCGTGGGCTCATGGGCCTAAGTATGTGGGCCTTCTGCTCCTGCTGCTTTCCTAGTTGCATCAGCAGGGAGGTGGATCCAAAACAGAGTAGCCTAGACTCCATCCTGAGCCAGTATGCTCATGCTTAACCTTATAGGAGTCATCAAGTGTGCTAACCAATCTGTGATTCATGAAATAGGAGAAGAAAGTTCCTGTACCCTTAGCAATACCTGATAAGGGCCAGTCTGATATGATAGGCATGTAATTTCCATCTGGCTTCATTTGGAACTGGATTGGGAGTAATGTCGGTCATCTTGGCTGAGTCAGTCTGGCCTTTCATGTTTCTCCTTCTGTTTGTATCCACTGGCCTTTTCAAAGAGCTCGTGTTTCTGTTTCTTAAAGGTCCCAGCATTCTCCTTATTTCCTGGAAGTCCCTACATTATCAGCTGTGTGGGCTGCAGACACATGAATTGTCCAAACTTTGTTTCTTCTCTTTCTTTCTGGTGCCTTTTATCTGAGAGAAATGTTAAAGTATTGAAATTTGTCTTATTATTTTTATGTCACCCCAGATTCAATCTCAGAGCTCCTTTCTTGCTTCAAGAGCCTAAAGTTATCTTGCAGTACTTTTTAAAAATTAATACAAAAGTTGGCGAGTCTCCCATCAAAACGTCATGTTTGTATATAGCTCTGCTTTCTTCTCCCCAATCCCCTGTTAACAGGTGTCGTGGGTACTGTGAACTGCATTGTACCCTCTCATCCAGGTCATGCTGCCTTTGCCACAGAGTCGCTTCCTGTGCACAAGGGTTGCTTCTTAGATCTCTATTCTCAGAACTTTGGCCTTGGTTTCTCAGAAACGCATCTTTACTCATGTCCCTTCTACACCTGGGTCTTGATGCTCCCAGCAGTATATGTAATGAAAGATTCTTCCTCCTGCTTTCATGTGGGGCTCCCTCTTGGTGTCTGCTCCCTAAGAATGTTTCTCTCTTTTCAGCTTAGCTGTTCCTTTAAATGATTGTATGTATATATGTTCATGGAAAAAATGGAATGCAAAGATAAGTATATTCTGATTTAAAGATAGTTGGAAATCTCATATGGATTTATCATATAAATTGCCCATAAAGTTTTTGAACACACCCTTCCACTGTGCCAAAATAAACTAAAATGCTTTAGTTCTTCCATAAGCATTTGGAGGTGCCCTCCTGTAGATACATGGACACAAGTGTGTGATTTTTGACTGTGTTTGCGTTTCATCTAGAGGTTCTTTAAGTTTGTGGAGCGGAGGGCTCGGCAGCTTAGTAGACACGGTGCTAGAGTTTGTGTCTCCCTTGGTGACTTTCAGGGTGTGAAGACCAAGCAGCTGTAGAGACCACATTGCCTGGGTTTCCAAGAGCTGGGTTCTCCCCTGCCCCAGGGGTTGTTGGTGTTGCTCACAACCACATTAAGCTGGCTTCTTCTGAGAAAGCCACTCTGGATGCCTTTGGTGGAATAAAGATAACCTAGAAAGCTTCCAGTGAGGGTTGACCAGAATCTGCTTCAATCTTACGCTTCCTAAGGAATGAATATTCAACACTATCTCTACAGTGAGAGAGATGTGAAGACAACAATTAGTCCAAGTCTTGTCCTCACTGTCGTGCTTTCAGCACTTTTTAGCACGCCCCTGAGGACTGCGAACAGGGAGAGGCGTGTTATCTACAGAGCACTTTTGAAGGATAGCACTGGGTCATTGTGGGTTAAGCTGCAGTTTGGGTGCCTGCTTCCCTTCCTCAAGTCTCGGCCACTGGCTTCTGATCAGCTTCCTGTTACTGTGATCCTGGCAGGTGGCAGGTAGTAACTCCAGGGCATGAGACCCTGTCAGCCACTAGGTGATCTGGATGGAGTTTGGGATCATAGGTTTGGCCTGGACCAACCCCAGCTATTGTGGGTAGATCGCTCTCTCTATCCCTGTTGTTCTGTCTTTAAAATAAAAATAAACTTTTTGTACAACAACAATTTTCTCAGGAGCTAGTAGATTTTCTCTAAACTTTTCTGTTAATGAATAAGGGATTCCAAAGACTATATAAAGTAACTTGGGAGGGGGTCACTGGTGTTGTGAAGAGGGTTAATCTACCACCTGCAACACTGATATCTCATGAGCACTGGTTCATGTACCAGCTGCTTCACTTCTGATCCTGATTCTTATAATGTATCTAGCAAAGCTGAGAAGGATGGCCCAAGTACTTGAGCCTCTGCACCCATGTTAGACCTGGAGGACACTCGTGGCTCCTGACTTCAACCTGGCGCAGGCATGGCTATTGTGGCCAGTTGGGAATCGAACCAGAAGATGGAAGATATTCTCTCTCTGTCTGTAACTATGCCTATCAAAGAAATAAATCATGTAAAAAGTACCACAGTGCCTGGCAATGTTTAATACCAAGAGCAATTGATCCATTTTTGATGGTAAGGTCATGTACATAAGATCATACATAAACTAAGGCAGTTCTGGTGCCAGATTGTAACCATCTTGTGTATTTGCTGCAGTGGATACTGAGACATGTATTCACCATGGTAGGAACAGGAATGTCATCAGGAAAGATCAGATCAGACAAGAGTGGGTCACCTCTGGCCTGGGAAGAGCTGGGTGAGTGCTGACATGTCTCAACTCATAGTGGAAACGTCAGGTCAGACGTGAATACGCATGTAGCTCTTGCAGAGAGGGATGGAGGACTCCTTAAGTGAATCACCCCATAGGAATGCTACTGTTTTCTCCACGGTGAGTGCTCATGTCCATCCTGGAATTGACATTCTTGTCCTTGATGTGGCAATGATGCTGTCACTGAGCTACAATAAAAGACTGCAAAGGAAGAAAAAGGGCAGATTCCACGGTTCTAAATAACAGTTACATCAGTTTGGTTCCATCTAAGACTTGCCCTGGAAGCCTGGTTCCGATTTAAATAAAGTGAAGCCAGTGCTATTAAATTCCTGTTTGCAAAGCAAGCATCCTATATGCAAGCACAGGTTTTAGTTTGAGCTGCTCTGCTTTGGCTCGAGCTTCCTGCTAAGGTGCCTGGGAAGGCAGAGGATGGTGAGTCAATTATTGAGGTCCCTACCACTCACGTGGCAGACCCAAATGGAGTTCCTGGATCCTGGCTTTGTCCTTGCCCAGTCTAGCTTTTGAGGAGTGAACCCAGCGCACAGAATCTTTTTCTCTTTCATTCTACCGTTAAAATAAAAATAATTTTTAAAAACTGTAACTTAATCCTTAATGTTGAGGGATAACTTTCTGTCTTTAAAGTCATGAGAAGAAGGTAAATAAAATGCAAGTCAAGAAATCTGACCTTCTTGGTCCTGGTTTACAGTTCACTTGCCCTGAGGCCCTGCAGAAGTTGCTGCACTGGTCTGTGTCTGGCCCTGGGCATTGGCTTGTATGTTGTTATTTCAGTTTTCCCTGGTAGAAGTGTCTTGGCAGATGGGGTCAGGATGGGAGTGGAGTGGCTCCCAAACCAGAGGTTTGTGTGGCTGGGATTTCATGGACTTGCCTCTCCTAAACCACACCCTGGAAGTCTTCCAAAGTGCATGTGCCTGCGGTTTCAGAAGAAACATGCTCTCTCCCTTCGCTGTCTCCCTGAGTTCATCTTTTTAAAATTCTCTATTTTTTTAAAAAGTGTTTATTTGAGAAGCTGAGCAATGGAAAGGCAGACAGAAGAGAGGTCTTCCATCTGCTGCTTTATTCCCCAAATACCTACAACGAACAGCCAGGACTAGACCGGACCAAGGCCTGGAACCAGGAACTCAGTCCTGCTCTACCATGTGGGTGACCCTTTGGGCCATCACCTGCTGTCTTCCCAGGTGAACAGTAGCAGAAATCCGGGAATCTGAGGCAGAACAGGAACTGGAGTTCGGGTACTCCAGGAAGGGATGCAAACCTCCCAAAGCAGCTTCCTCATCACTACACCAAACGTCCATCCCCTCCTGCTGGTGTTGGCCAAGTTTCAAGAGCTCTCGGCCACCTTTCTGCACAGAAACCTGATAAGTGGCTTTTCTTGTTTATTCTTGCCTTTTCCAGGCACCTTTTGAAAATGAACAAGAGCAGCTCTGACTTGGAGAAAGTGAGCCAGGGCTCTGCAGAGAGTCTCAGCCCGTCCTTCAGGGGTGTGCACGTCAGCTTCACCACCGGCTCCACCGACAGCCTGGCCTCGGACTCCAGGACCGGCAGCGATGGAGGTAATGGCCTGGAGTTTGATGGATTGGCTCCTGTTTTCTTGGATGAGCAGGGCCGATCCCGGGTTGATTGGCAGAATGGGAGTGAGGGACTGCACAAAGGCTCCTATCTAGATCTTGCTTTCCCTAGGCAGTAGTCTCTGCCGATGTGCAGCCAAAGTTGAGTCCTGATTGAATGGTTGACAAGCTGCCCCATTGCGGTCATGATGATGCCTGCCTCCCCATGGCGACAGGAAGGGAGAGGAGGTTGGGGTTGATAACAAATTAAATGGCTCTAGATTCCTTGGGTAATGAGCCATCTCTGTATAAAGTATAAATCTGCTTTTCATTTCTGTCCGTGTGATTGAGTCGAAGGAGATTGGAAGCATGCCCAACAACTTCTTTCCTTGTTGCTCAAGCGCTTGCACACACGTGCATAGATGTGACAGGTGTGCTTACCTTAGGGTTTGTTGAATTAAAGCATGGAACCTCTGTTGGGCTGCCATATATCCCAGTTGCCAGATTAAGCTCCAAGGCATAAAAAAAGAGATTCTTAGTTTCTGGAATTCTGGCTTGGCTGTGTGGGATGTAAATACTGCCCGTTTGCAGTCCTCCTGTGTGCTCTCTGCTGGGTCTCTCGCAGACTTGTATTAGTGTGTTGGAGTAAGGTGTATGCTGGCAGGATTGTTCTGGCTCCCTCTTTCTCTCGGAGCTACTTTTGTTGTAGAATGTTTAATGGTAAATTTGCTGTCAGGTGACATTTTTCTGTCTAGATAATGAGTGCCAGCCAAGATGAAAGTGTATATTCTGAGCTGGGCTGTGGTGTGTTCTGATTGGAAACCTCTGATAACACTCCATAGAAAACAGGAAATATCTAGTCTTGATTTGGGAAAAATGTGGCAAAAAAAAAAAAAGATTTTCTTTTTCTGCAGATTTTTCCGGACTCCTATCTTCTTCCTTTTCCCATCCCATTGTGCGAAAGTTCCAGGAGACAGATTCTCCCATGGAAGGCTGGCCCTCTGCACACTTGGCCACCGTGCTGGTCACACTGGGTCAGTCAGCTGGAAGCAGCTCTGCCTCCAGCCCCCTGGGTCTTGAGAAGAATGGGGCTCATGGGCTTCATCACTTTGCTTTTGAGAGCCAATTCTGATGTCTGCTCTCAGGGCTCTTAAGCTAGGAAAGATGAAATTAAAACACAAACAATGTGGGTGGGTGGGAGAAGATAAAGAGTTGAGCGGCCCAGGACAGAAGTGTTTGTAAGGGCTTCTGGAGAAGAAAGCAACCGATTAGGACTGATGGAAGGTTCGGGGCAGACTTCCTGAGAAGAGGAGAGCCGAGCTCCTGTCTGCAGTGTGGTTAGAACTGGAGAGGCAGCTTGGAGGAAGCACAGGCTCTCCAGGTTCAGGAGACCCTGAAGAGGACTAGAGGCACTGAGGAAAGCATGTGACCGGCCTGATCCACCTCAGGGAATAGCCAGTTGGGAGAGAATGGGATGCTGGCTGGTGGGAAGCAGGGAGCACATCATGCAAGGCTCTTGAAGCTAACTTGCATGGGTGGAATGCAAGGAGCTGCTGAAGGTTCATGGGCAGAGTGCTGACACCCACCTCAGACATTTTCCCATATTGCTTTCTAAACAGCATGAATTACAATGACTCTATTTCTCATGGTGAGCCTGCTTTTCACTGGAAATGCACTTTGGTATTGAGATTCCCAGGGGTGAGGACTTTACCTAGTGCATATTTTGCACATCCAGAGGGCCTTGGTTCAGTGTCAAACTTCAGCTCCTCACTGCAGCTTATGCACAACATGGGAGGCAGGCAGATATTGGACTCCTGCCACCCACATGGAAGACTTGAATTGTGTTATCATTCCTGGCCCTGCCTTGGCCATCGCAAGCTTTTGGGGAGTGAATTAACATTTATCTTTCAATCCCACTGTCTAAATTTCATGATCATAGAATGCCATCTTTGCATCTTCTTAATTCCACCTCTTGGGGTTGCTCTTGGCTCTCCTACCCCTCCCAGCAACCTGTTGTATCCTCTCTGGTGCTGGCAATTCCCTTGAACAGTGAGCTGGCTCATTGTAAAGTCAAAGCCATCTATTTGGTTTATTCTTGGTTTGAAAGGGACAGACTGGTGGTCAGGACAGATCCATGGAAGCTACCAAGGGGACAGTTACCTGTGCTGAATTGAGAAGTGGATATGAGAGGGAAAGAATGGGTTGAGTGATCGTCAGAAGACCTGAGCTTTAAGTAGTTGCTATTAAATATGTAAACTTGTTGGTAGGATAAGCTAGCTCATTTCTTTCTTGGATCTAGGATATCATTACAATTAAATTCAGCAGTGCACCACACATCTGTGGTGCCAGGAGTTTAGAGGAGGGGGCAGAGCTCAGATGTTGGCATACTAGCCACAGATCACAGATCTATACTGAAAACCTAAGTGAGTACTTACTTGCATACAGATACAAGTGTGATGTTATCTCCATAGCTAGCTAGCTGGAAATAGAGGACATTTAACTATTAGACAATAGTCTTCTGTTTTTCTCAAAAATAATGCCAAGCAGATTTAAAAGAAAAATGCAGGTTTTCAGTTAATGCATCAGTTGATAGCTGTTTGTTGAATGCTGGCTATGTGCTAAGTACAGGTCTAGATGCGGAAGCTCTGTCCATGGAAAGCAATGCCCAGTTCCTTCTTCTCTGGGCTTACATTATGGTGGGCAAGGTGGACAAGAAGAAAGGTAAAGGAGGACACAGCTACTGTGTCTGGTGGCCATTGGTGCTTAGAGAAAGAAAGATCAGGGCAGGAGTTGAGCAAGGAGCGATGGAGAGATAGGAAGTCCACCAAGATCAGATACACATCAGGATGAGTTGCAACCTGGCTTTGCTCAGGCACATTCCCCCACTCAGCATGCAACCTGAAACCCTATTTCTATTTCTGAGAAAGAATTGTGTTAAATGTGGGTCTTGGTAAATGCATGTAAAGCTCTACCTAAGTCTAGTATCTTTTCTAACTATTAAACAGGCTTGTTCAAGCACTTCATCCTAAATTTGTAAGTTCAACTCAGATTTTTTGATAGTTATTTAATTCATTTGAAAGGCAGACAGATTTTTTTTTTTCATCCACTGATTTACTCCCCAAAGATTGGAATAGTTGGGACTGGGACTTATCAAGTCTGGGAGCCTGGAATTTCATCTGGGTTTCCCATGTGGGTGATGGGGGCCCAAGAACCTTCTCAGGTGCGTTAGCGGGAAGCTGGTTTGGAAATAGAAGAGCTAGGACTCCAGCTAGTACTTGTATATGGGATACTTGTGTCATGGGCATCTTAAACCACAGCCTCACAACAACCAGTCCCATATCTAACTTATAATAAGTTATAAGCTATGTGTTTTGTTCTGGTACAATGTGTGTGCTCCATATTCATACCCTCCATGAAGATAAACTGAGTCCTGGGTTCTGGTCCAGGAGATCTATTGGAGAGGGCACTTTCCTTCATGAGACTATGTCTGCATGCTGAACAAGCATATCACCACAGGGAAGCGTCAGCTTCGTTTGAGCTACTCCCTTTACACTGGGTGCAGTGAAAAGTCAACCTTCCCATTCCAGCTGCCACCAGCACCTTCGGCAAGTTTTTTCTGTTTCATTCTAGAAATTTCTGTCTGCATATCAAATATCTAAAAATTCCGTTTTCTACACTTCATCCTTCATGTGTCTTCAAATCTTTCAAATCAGATCTTCTTTTCTCCACTGCATTTTTTAAATTGCTGGAATTTTTTTTAATTGTATGAACTGGTCAAACTCCTGGCTTTCTTAGGCCTGTTGAGGTGTCTTTCAACACAGAAGTGCAATGAGATCCTATCTGCAACAGGAAATCCTCGAAGACATGGGAAGGATATGTCTGTCTCAATGTGTGTGTGTGTTTGATGTCGTTGTTCCCCAGTTATCCTCTACACGTGTCATTGTATCCCTCCATCAATGGCCTGTGAGAAGTACACAGAGCAGACTTAAAATTTTTCTAACTTGGGAGACAGCTTCTAACAATTGTGTTGAACAAGAAGTTGAAACATCACAGGGCTGGCACTGTGGCATAGTGAGTGAAGTTGTCATAGTGTATGTCTGTGATGCTTCAACCCCAACTGAAGACTGACTGCTCCACTTCCTATCCAACCTCCTGCTAATGCACTTGGGCAAAGCAGTGGAAGAGGGCCCATATACTTGGGTCCCTACCAGCAAGAGGGTAAATAGAGGAAGATTCAGGCTCCTGTCTTCAGCCTGGTTCTTGCAGCCATTTGGGGAGTAAACCAGCAGATGGAAAAAAAGACCTTGCTCTCTGTGATTCTTCCTCTGTCTCTGTAACTCTGCCTTTTGAATCAAACTAAATAAATAAATCTTTTTTTTTTTTAAAGAAAGAAAGATCATAGTCCCAGAGCCACTCCTCCCCGCCCCCTCCCCTACGTGGCCATAGCATGGCATCCAGTGATCTGGAGTCTTCTGGCCACAGTGCGTGGGTGTCTGTTTGCTTGGGAATCATATCCCCTCCTGTCTTGATTGATGACCTGGTCTGCAGAGACTGCCACGCCTCCCATCCCCTTGTAAAATGCTAATAACAGGCTTCCAGCTTCAGACCTGCTATCTGGCTGAAAAGGCAGAAGTTGTTTCTGCGCTTCGCTGTCTCTTCTTTCCCCATTTCGTGTTGTGTCTGCTCTGATCTGATTCTGGAACCGAAACAGACATTGCACCATTGTCCCAGGGAAAGGACAAAGTGACGTGTGGAGCTAAAGCATCCTCCTGCCCCTCTTCCATCTGCCTGGGGTGGGAGGGACAAGGGGCTATGGGTGTAGCCCCTGTGACAACCACTTCCTTTGTGACATTGATAAAGTGCCCAAGGCAGTGGCTTCTGTTTTAGCAAGAGGTGACTGAATTAGCTCCCATGGCAGGGGCTGGGGTGTTTTGTTTTGGTTTTGGTTTTGGCTTTTTGTTTTGTTTTTCTTTCTTTTTTTTTTTTTTTCTGCCTTGGTCCCTGTG